AATGGCTAAAATGAAAAATGGTGAGAATGTTACTGAGCAATGGGCTTGCTACCTGACATGCATAGAGATCAAAATATCATGACACCAGATTTTGAAAACAGAAAGAGACTTTATTGCAAGTCCATTGGAAAGAAGTAGAGGTAAACACAAATCTGCTTCCCCGGTTAAGAATAAGAATGAATGAAACCATCCAATATTTTTCTTTTTCCTTCTGGCTTATTTCTCTGAGTATAATTCCTTCTAGTTCCATCCACATTGCTGCGAATGGCATGAGTTTATCCTTTTTGATTGCTGAATAATATTCTATTGCGTATATATAACACATCTCCTTGATCCAGTCATCTATTTTGGGGCATTTGGGTTGTTTCCTGGTTTTACCTATTGTAAATAGTGCTGCAACAAACATAGGGGTACAGGTGTTCTTTTGAATCAATGTTTTTGTGCCCTTTGGGTAGATTTCTATGAGTAGAATTGCCAGGTCACAGGAATATAGGGGAACCAAATAAGACATTAGTGTAAAAAAATAATAATACAAATACAAAACACAACAAAGCAAAAACAGACAATTATAAATCAGTGACATCTTGCAGGGGAGGAGGAGGGAGAGGGATCAGAGGGAGGGAGGGAGGAGCACAGGGGACTGAGGTGAGGGTGCACGGGTGCATTGGTGAAGGAAACTCTATGGAAACTACACCTGAGGGGGTGGGGGAAGCAAATATTGTTTGAAAATGAACAAGGATGTAAAAAATTAAAAAATATTAAAATAAAAAATGGGAATGAAGTCATATATGTTTAAGATTTGGCTGGAATTCATTGGCTAGTTACAGGGAAATTCATACATGAAGAAGTGTGAAGAGGGCTTTCTTCAGATAACTGGAGTTGTGAATTTCTGTCGGAGGTCCCTTGTCTCTGAGTAGTACCCCTCTTCTGCATTTGTGTCTCCTGGTTCCAGTCAGCCTTTGGAGCTCAGCTCAAGTTTACTTGCTTCGGTTTGCTCAAGTTGGGTCATCTGCAAATAAACTGCATCTATGAATACAGACCTCAATGAGAAATTTAAACAAGGTTTGTTTTTTTTTCCTGTTGTGCTCTCAGGTATGACCGTAATTTAACTATTTAGACTTTGTTACAATAACACCAAATAACCTGTAAGGATATGGGAAACTGGGTCACTATTACAATGCTGCTACCCACTTTACCATGTTGGAAAATAGATCAAATTTCTTATGAAAATTAAAAAATAAGGACTAACCATAGGACCTAGCACTGTATTTCTGAGTATTTATCCCAGAAAAAGGAAAACACATTCACAAAGAAACTTGTATACAAATGTTCATGGCAGTTTTATTTGTAATAACCCAAAACTGGAAGTGACCCAAATATGTTTCAATCAGTGAATGGCTAAACAAATGGTGATAACCATACCATGGAATATTACACTGCAATGAAAAGCAATGAACTATTGATACATGCAATCACTTAGATGAATTTCAAGGGAGTTATGCTGAGAGAAGAAGTCTCAAAAGTTTACATGTCCTATGATTTTATTTATATAACATTCTTGAAATGACAAAATAATAGAGATGGAGAACAGATAGGTGCTTGTTGGGAGCAGGGGGTGGGAAAAATGAGGGGATGGGTGTGGCTATAAAGGGTAGCATAGGGAAACTTGTGATGATGGTAGAATTAAGTATCCTGATTGGCGGTGAACATGTGAAGCTACCACATGATAACATCATCACACACACAATAGACACACATACACAAATGAGTGCAGGTATAATTGGAGAAATATGAATAAGCTCTGTGGATTGTACCAATGTCACTTTCCTAGTATTGATACAGCATTACCAATAATTATGCAAGATGCTAACACTGGGGGAAGCTGGGGAACGGTGACTGGTTCCTCTCTATACATTACTTTCCTCTCTCTACATTATTTTGCAACACAAATCTCTATTACTTCAAAATATGAGACTTTGAAAAATTCAGTGGCAATCATTTTGACATGTTCTTCTAAAAAGTCGCAATAGCATAATTATACCTGAGAAAGTGAACAATATCTACCAGTAGCTAATGTCCAGTCCAGAATCAAATTTCCACAATGGCTCACGAAAATGATTTTTCTTTATAGTTACTGTGCTTTTTTTTAAAAAAAAAAAAAGATTTATTTATTTATGCATACAAGAGCTGGGGTACAGGCCAGAGATGCAGAGAGTGAGAGGATCCACCAGAGACAGAGTGGGGAACAGAACAGGCAGATTGACTGACTGAGGAGAGGTCTGCCTCGCCATGTGGGTTTCTCCCTGGCCAGCCAGGGATCGAACTGGTGCTGCAGAGGCAGCAGATTGCTTCATAGTGCAGTGCTTAACCCCTTGAACAACCAGGGAGACCCCTACTGTGCTTTTTTTTTTTTTTTTGCAAACAAGATCTAATTGCAATTCACACATTCTAGTTACTTGTTAGGTTTCTTTCTTTCTTTCTTTCTTTTTTAAGATTTATTATTTATTTATGCATACAAGAACTGGGATGTAGGCCAGAGGTACGGAGGATGGGGGCTGGGGAGGTGAGAGCATTCACCAGATACAGAGTGGGGAACAGAACAGGCAGACTGACTGAAGTACACTGCTGGGAGGAGCAGCAGGTGAGACTGGAGAGGTCTGCTGTGCCATGTGGGTTTCTCCCTGGCTGGGGGTGGCTGGCAATAGCTTGATAGTACTGAGACTTTAACCCCTGTGCCACCAGGGAAGCCCCATTACTTGTTAGGTTTCTTTGGTCTCCTCTTTTCTCATCTTGTACTTTTTCTTTCATGACATTCACTTCTTGAAGAATCCAAATCAGGGCCTCCCCTGGTGGCTCAGCGGTTGAGCGCTAGGCTGCGAAGCTGCCTGCAGCCTGTGCAGCGCTAGTTCAATCCCCAGCCACCGGCGAGGGTCCCACTTGGCGCACAGACCTCTCCTGCCGCCCGCTGCTCCCCTCTGCAGTGTACTTCGGTCCTTCTGCCTACTCTGCTCCCTGTTCTGGCTCTGGTGAATTCTCTCATCCTTCCGCGCTTCTGCCTGTACTCAGTGTTTGTATAAATTAAAAAAAAAAAAAAAAGAATCCAAACCGGTTTTTTCCCCTAGTGTCCCACAGTCTGAGTTTGTATGATTGTTTTCCTGTATTTCCTGAAAACTGGGGTGGAAATCTGGAAGACTGATTCTCTTGAGATGAAGGGTCTTTAACTCCTTGGTATGGAGTGCTTTCTATTATGGCCTCCAGGAGGGGCTTTTCTTGGCTTGTTCCATTATGGGAGAAGTGAGACTTGAAGGCATCATTAGGGCACATGTTACTGTCGAATTCTCCTACAGAAATGTCCCTTTTGTGACTAGAGTTTGTGGGATGACACTTGGGCACCATGAAAATGCTGAGTCACCAATGATTTTAGCACTCATTGATGACCCTTGCTTTAGTAACTGCCAATATATTGAAGGTTGCAAAATAATGATTTTCTCATTCTGTGCTCTTTCTCCAGGTGTAAGCTCCATTCAGTGTGCTATAAACCATTACCTTTTTGAGAATTAACTGGAGTGAAGGTGTCTTTGCCCCAAATTTAAAAATAATAACAAAATTAAATGTTCTGTTTTTGAACAGAACAAAAAACCAATTTGAATAGGTTTGTATAGATCAAAGATAGAAAACTTATAATTGCAATGGATTTAAAAACCTCAACTATGCTTATATCCATGAATTTATAAGCATATAAACAAATGAATATTGGATGATACTGGTTCACTGAATTGTTATCTTAGTAGCTGGAAAATAAAGAGGAAAATATCAAACATTTATGCTGCTTTTACACATAGACCCTCAAGGTGACTAAATCATTGATGAGGGGAAGTCTCCTAGGTAATAAATGAAGGAGGATGGTTGAATGAAAACATCCCCATTTTGCATTCCATAATGAATGAGTGGATTTGGACACTGAGCACACATCACAAAATGCAACTTAGAATGAAATGCATGGGAACTCCCGGAGGCCGGGCCTAGGGGGTTTCTCTGGAGCAGAGGTTGGCAAACTGGTCCAGGTGCCATACACTGGCCAGCTATCTTTTTCTGTAAATAAAGTTGAATAGGAACATAATCATGTTGTCCACACCTGCTTTCATGATATCAGGACAAAATTAAGTAGTTATGGCAAGGATCATAGGGCTCGAAAGTAAAAAATATTTACTCTCTGACCTTTACAGAAAATATTTGTCAGCCCCAGCTGGTCACAAGACTAAATGCATTTCTCTCACCTAGACCAGCATTGTCAGTCAGGGTGGTTTTGCCAGCCTGGTGACATTTGATGATGCCTGGAGGCATTTTCGGTTGTCATAACTAAGGGTGGGAAGTGCTGGTAATGGCATTTGGTGGGTAGAAACCAGAGATCTGCCCAACACCCAACATTACACAGAGCACCTACCCAAGGAACAGCTATTTGACCCAAAATGTCCAAAGTACTGGGGTGGAGAATCTGCCCTATCCCTTGGCACCCCCTCTCTGCACTGGAGGATCAATAAAGACATTTTCTAAGCTTGCTTACTCTGTGACTCTCGTGCTTATTCAGGTGACAATAGAGTATCCTGTCCTCAGCAGGGGCATCCCCCAAAGGTGCTATTGTCAGCCCCTTCCCCTTAGCCATTAACCCTTCCCCAGCCCCTTAACCCACAAGAATAGAAGCTCCAGCCAAGCCAACCATGACTGTCTAGTCTCCTGAGACCTTTGCCCTAGACTGTGTCCCACCGATTCTGACCTTTCTTTGACCATTTGTACCATCCTTGGTACAAATTCAGCACACCAGTCAGACCAAACTCAGCAACTTCCCAAAACACAAGCAAATTTAATCCCTTATTCCAGCCTCCCAAGGGACTCGTGGCACCACTGCCGGACAGAAGCTGGACAGCTATCCCCTTAGCTCTGAGCAGACAGACCCCACCCTCCTCCTTGCCCACACCCACCTCTCCTGGGGATGTGTGCCCCTTTTTTGTCTTTAGTTCAAGTTAAGAGTATGCTGGGCTGTCGGGGGCTCTGAAGCAGGAGGCTTCTTTTTTTCTCTCTTTTCCCTCTGCATTCTCTGGGTCCCCAGGGCACAGTAGTACATCCCTTCATCTTCAGGCTGCAAGTCAGAGATGCTCAGATAGCCCGTGTTCGTGGTCATGTCTTTGGATCCAGAGAAGCGAGGAGGGATCTTGGGCCCTAGCATCTTGTCAGAGTGGGAAAAGTAGCTCAGCAAAAATCTCGGAGGGTGACCAGGCCTCTGCTGGTACCAGTAGATGTTATAAATGCCGATGTCGTGGTCGCTACTCAAGGTGCAGGGCAGGTGGATTGTGGTTCCGAGGGATGAAGACATGGATGGTGGCTGATTCAGCACTGGCTGAGGGCTAGAACCTGGGGACACAGAAGCTGGTGTGCACATGGGGCAGGGCAAGGGAAAGGGCTGGGAACTGACAGTTTTGGGGTATTCTCACCTGTGCAGCAGATGAGGAGCCCCAGAAGAACAGGAATCCAGGACATGGTGCAGACGTGCAGATTCTACCTCCTCACACTACCGCTGCTCCAGGAACCCTGTTGGGGTTGGGCCAGCACTTTCCTCCACCCTCCCAGGGGTGGGGCCATTGCATGCCTGGTTCCTGGGCCACCATTCCAAACTTTCTTCACTTTGCAGAGTTAGTTAGAGGAACGGCCCCGTGGTGCTCTTGTGGCTCCTGCCTTGGTCCCCTGGAAACTTTGGGGGAGGAAGCACCTGCTGGAAGTGTCAGACCAGTGCCCAAAAGGCAGGCCTGCCAACTTGGGTCCCCAAGGGGAGAGTGACCTCAATGTCTCCCCAAGGAAGCTGGGCCCCACAGAAATAAATTTCTTGTCCAAATTTACATGCCTGCTGAACCGGTAAGAAAGAACACGCCCTCAGGGTGGTGAAAACACCTGTTTTGTGCAGAAAGAAGTACCAGGCAGTATTTGGGGGGAACCCACACATGGGGTCAAAGGCAGGTGGAGGCAGAGGCGTGGCAGCCTTCCCTCCCCTGCACCCAGGGTCCTGCAGAGGTTCTGTTCAGCCCTCCTGACCACTTTTCTTGCAGGTGTCTCCAGGGAGAGTGGGAGACAGAATCTGTGCCAGGGTCATTGTCCCAATCCTTGGCCAGACCCTGCCCCCACAGAGGATGTTTGTTCCTTCCTCACCATGCCTGGATTTAAACATTCCCCATAATGTTTAGGAGACCCAGGACTCACTCTCTGCTTGGGCCCATAAAGCCATGTAGATCATACAGCTGGAAGATAGCAGGATGCTCAGATGGAGACCCAGGAAAGTTAGTGGTGCAGTTAATTCCGAGTCTGAAAGCCTGAGAGCAGGGGGAGTAGGTGGTATATTCCTCAGTCCAAGGGCAGGAGGTCAACGTCTCAGCTTGAGCTGGCATACAGGATGCAAAAGGGAGCAACTTGCTCTTCTACCCTCCTTTTGTTCTAACAGTCCTCAATGGATTGGATGAGGCCCACCCTCATTGGGAAGGGTCAGCTGCTTTACCTAGCACACCAGGTCAATCTCATCCAGAAACATCCTCAAGAACTAAAGTTTAATTGGGACATCCTCTGACCCAGTCAAGTTGCATATAAAATTAGCCATCACACTGTCATCCTTCCCTTCTCATTACATGCTAGAATTTCCTCAGCAAAGAGCAGGGAAACCTGGGAAGTGAAAACGGTCCCTCAACTCTCAGAGGGCTGTGGGTGAAGGTTAAAAAAGAAAAGACAGTTGTTTTAGGGGGATGTTTTTACTCCCCAGGTGTGAGTAGAATCAGTTACGGAGATGAGAACACATCTTTAATCCAACAAATTGTTGCACCCACACGTGCAACAATTTTCAGGGCAGAAGGTGGAAAAACACCCCGCTGTGACTCAGTCTCCCATGGGGCTGGTAGACTGCAACCTGGCTTTCTTGTATCTGGCCGTATGGGTGATACTGACAGTGGGAACTCAAATTGCTCCTAGCTCAAGTGAAAGAAATCCTCCCCCAGGGCAGGAGAGGGAAGAAGGAGGTGTGCCCACTGCCTCATGCTCACCCACACTCCACGATCACAGACAGGAAGTCTCGGATCTGGAAGTCAGACTCCCAGGCAATGTTGGGGCCATTACCACTGTGCTCTGCACCCTGTCCCAGGCCCAAGGCTGACTCTTCTCTAAGCTGGATAGCCCCATCTCCAGTTCCACAGAGGAGATGATTTTCATGGAACAACCATGTATTCGATAGAGAATCTGACAGGTCTTTGTCTCTGGTTCCTGGAAGGGAGCCTATAAATCCTTGGAATTTCTAAATGACAGGAGTTTCTTTGTTTTTCATGGTGGTCCCCAGGGCCACACTTGCATTTATGCTAGTGAAGTGACTCAGATAGGGCCTGACTGTGAAGAGCCACCATTTGATTAGAGGTGTGGGGCTTCGACCAAGTGATATCAAGCAGGTAGGCCACTGGGGATTGTGCTCAATCATGGAGCCAAGGTTTCAATTAATCATGCCTAAGTAATGGAACCCCAGTGAAAACCCTGGACAGGGAAGTCCAGAGAAGCACCCCAGAGTGATGAGAGCTGTGAGTCTCACCGTTCCATCCCTGTGCCTTCCTGACTGAAGACAACTGGGGGATTTTAAGAGAGCTGCGAGTCTCGCAGTTCCACCTCTGACTTCTTGAATAGGGACAGTTGGAAACCAAGGTATTCCCCAGCCCTCTTTGTTATCGGGGTGTAAGGCAGGAATGGACACTGTGCAGGTTTTCTATGATCCAGCAGACCAGGTAAAGGAGGAGTCAGAGTCCTCAGGGGCTTTTGCAGGTCTTTTATTGGGATTTACCTGGTACACAGCAGGCAGGGGTGCTGGGGGGCCAGGAGGCTGGCAGACCTCCCAGCCCCAGCAAATCCTCACTCTGGGCTCTCTGGTGATCTCTGCTTCTGCTTCTCTGCTTCTCTGCTTCTCTCTCGGGTTCTCTTTTGGCTGCTGCTGGCGTCCCCATGATGCCGCCCTTAAAAGCACAGTCTTAGCCCAGGTGAATCCCATCTACCTATGCCCACACCCTATTCCAGGTGCCCGCCATCAGGCATGCATTCAGGACAAGGATCCATCATCTATCCTGATGGCAGGAGGGCAGAAAAGCCTGACAATTTCTTTACCCTACACGGGGCTATTGTCTTGGTGCCTAGGGTTCCTGCTAGTCAAGCTAAAATGTAGAGTCAGGCAGGGCACCTCTCACCAGGACAAAAGTCCTGGTATGAGGAACATACTGGGAAACCAGTATCTGCTGAAAACAGCAGGCAGATATTACAGCCAGATTAGGAAGACCGCTAGACTACCTTACTTGTAAAGATTAGCACAAAGTTAGGTAAGAATAGGAATTAGAGATAGTATTTTTTTTCATTTTTTTTTCAATTTTTTTTTATATTCCCCATACAATTGCAACCCCGATTTTGACCCCAATCCCTCCTTCCCCTCCCCACAGAGTGTCTCTTGTTCATAGTTGTTTGTTGATTTTGATTTTTTCTTTCTTATATTCTTTTTCCTGGTCCATATTTAGGTTTTCTAGATTCCTGCTATGAGTGAGACCATCCGGTATTTTTCTTTTTCTTTCTGGCTTATTTCGCTGAGCATGATCCCTTCCAGCGCCATCCATGTTGCTGCAAATTGCATGTGTTTATCTTTTTTGAATGCTGAGTAATATTCCATGGTGTATATGTTCCACATCTTCTTGATCCAGTCATCTATTTTTGGGCATTTGGGTTGTTTCCATAGCTTAGCTATTGTAAACAGTGCTTCTATAAACATAGGGGTGCAGGTGCCCTTTTGAATTAATGATTCTTTGTCCTTTGGGTAAATACCTAGGAGTGGAATTGCTGGATCATATGGGAGCTCTATGTTTAGTAGGTCCAGAAATCTCCACACAGCTCTCCATAGTGGTTGGACCAGTTTGCACTCCCACCAACAGTGCAGGAGAATTCCTTTCTCTCCACATCCTCGCCAACATTTGTTGTTGCTAGTTTTTTTAATATGTGCCATTCTCACTGGTAAGAGATGGTATAGAGATAGCATGTTTTGATTAGCGGGAACTATGGAGGCCTCCAAGCAATAGCCCCTGGTCACTCCAACCTAGCTTGCACCAGATGATGACACACCCCCAAGCATGTACATTCCTCCGTGTATTTGCCCATTGTTATGCCAGCAAGGCATGGGGCATATTCTCCATGGATCCGGGCAGATGGATAAAGGAGAGTCCTGGAGCCCTCAGGAGCTTTTTTGGGCTTTTAATGATTTTTCTACACCATTTGTAGTGAGATAACCAGGTGCAGGGCAGGCAAGGGAACCAGAAGGCCAGGAGACTGGCAGTTCCTGCCAAATCTTCACTCTTTCGGCTCTCTCTGGTGTTCTCTCACAGCCTCTTTACTGCTCTCTACTGCACTCTGCCACACCCATATATGCTCAGTCTCTTGGCTCAGGTGTGGGCATGCATAAATGGGCACCTACACTACCCCACACCATACTCCAGGTGTCCACCATCAGGTATACGTACCCCGAGCCCATGCTCCCAAGCACCGCCTATATTTAAGGCCACAGGTGATAGCCACAGAGGCCAATGGTGCAAAGCCTGAGCAATCTTCATTCACTCTACAACCATATTTTCTGAACCTGGATCTAAATATGAGACTGTCCAGAGATCGGGGCTGTACTTTTTTAGGTGCAAGTCCCTCTAGAACCTCTACTTGGCCTTTGAGTTGTCTTTCCTTTGTCCTGCACTGCTCCCAATGCTGCCCCTGTTCCTCCCCTCAAACCTTTCCGTCTCCCTTCCCATCTCCCTTCCCTCTCCCCCCCCCCCCCTTGAGGGAGGCCACAGGAAACCAGGGGCAGAGTGGAGCCTTGGAGTTGACTTTAAAAGACTAAGCTGGGAGGTGAGAGGGTGGAGTCTCCCAGTTCTGCTCTTGCTTTGGTCTGCTGCTCCTCTGGGGCAGGGGCTCCTGCTTCTGTGCAGGTCTCACTCATGCAGCTTAGCTGACTAAAGCTTTTTCCAGTTTTAGCACTTTGGCAGGCAGTACAATCCTGCTGACTTGAGAGACTATGGCAGTGTAAAGGGCAGGAATGGACATAGGGCAGATTTTCTGACGCCATGCAGACCGCGTAAAGGAGGAGTCAGAGTCCTCAGTGGTTTTTGCAGGCTTTTATTGGGATTTACCCGGTACACAGCAGGCAGGGGTGCTGGGGGGCCGGGAGGCTGGCAGGCCTCCCAGCCCCCAGCAAGTCTTCACTCTATCTGGGCTTTCTGGCCTTCTCTGCTCCTCTCTCAGCTTCTCTTTCGGCTTCTGCTCTTCTCGGCTTCTACTGGCGTCCCCGTGACGCCGCCCTTAAAAAGCACAGTCTTAGCCCAGGTGAATCCCATCTACCTATGACCACACCCTACTCCAGGTGCCCGCCATCAGGCATGCATTCAGGACCTCAAGGATCCATCATCTATCCTGATGGCGGGAGGGCAGAAAGCCTGACATTTTTC